TTGTGGGAGAAGGGTTTTTTTTCACCTTTACCCCCGCCTAGGACAAGTACCATGTCCCGATGCCAAGTCTCAGGAATCCAAGACGGCCGAGATTATTGACCCAGGGAATATGTGCCTCTGAGTCAGATCCTGAGGTCAGGAGGATCCTGACAGCTGTGTTTTATGTGTTTGAAGGATCTAATTTTCAAGGAAGCAGGGTAATAGTTATTGCCCCCCATCCCACTCTTTCTACCCTTCAGCTCCCCAGCTGATCAGATCCTACTCCCTCAAGACCTGACTATCCTTGTGATATGGCACAGGCACTGTGGCTGCGGCAGCTGAGCTCTCACTCTCTGTCCAACAGAAATATTTCCTTCCTGGTAGCTTTTACCTTAGGATATGAGTCCAGAGATCCTGCTCTGCCCTGTTCTTTGGCTCATCTATTGGGGTTATTCTGCATGCTCTGCCAGCAGCGTGGAAATGAGCAAATTTCTGTTTTCTGAACTTAACGAGAATCACATTTAGTAGATTTGTGCAATAACGAAGATTAAAAAAAATTATCCTCCATATGACCAGTGGGCTGTGTCACATGCAAAGCTGACTAGGGCTATTTGTAATAACTTGACAAAAGCTGTCATTCGATATTTTAAAACATATTTAATCTCGGAGCCTGAGAAACCAATTCTGTCGCTTTCACACATTTGGTTTCACTGTCTACTGTACAAATGTGGGACTTGAAACTTCTACATTGCCCAGCAGCTTTAGAACCATGTTTCTGCTTCATTATCCACAAAGACTGCACACCACAAGCATCTATGAGTGGTAAGTTGAGGTGGTTATTGTACAAAATATGGTGTGTAAAACAAAACCAGGATTCGTATTAAAATTCCTTTCTCAGACACTGAGAACATAAATAAGAATCAGCAGAGGTTATTTACAGTGCTAGACAATATTTTACTGCATACTTCCATTTACAGGGTTTTTTTCTTTTGTAAATTACTGCTAAATATGTGTGTACTGGTCATACCAGACAGTTCAAAACTTTTTTTAAAACCTAAATCTCTGAAACTGGACAAAGTAATGAACAATTTTTATGACACTGATGTTAAAAAACCTTGGCTTGTGTTGTGTGGTAGATAATGCTTTCAATTTAGGCTCCCCCTTATGCATTCAATTTGGATTTAATACCTTCTGAGCCAAATTCTGCCCTCACTTAAGAGCCTCATCATCCCAAGTGCTGACAATGGGGACTGCAGAGGATCAGTGAGAGCAAGGCTTCATCATTTGTGCTCAGTGAGCGTGGTTAATTCCTCATCAACACAGCGAGATTAACCCCAATTAATAGAGGTTCATTTTCCTTTTGAATTACTGTTTCAGATGATCTAATGGTATTTATTTAACCCTTATCATAGCAGGAAAGAGCCTTTCATCTGATGTTACCGTTGAGCAGCTGAATTCTCCTTTGCTTTCCTAAATCTCTGCAAGAGGTTTGCCACCCAACAGTTTTGACTCCCTATTTTTTTCTACACTTACTTTCCTTTTTTCACACCCTCCATGGGTGTGAAATATTTTTGCTTACAGGAAAGGAACATCCTACATTCTTCCTTAGGAGCGTCTTCTGGAAGCACTGATGTTTTCTGTTAAATGGTCTCAACATAATGTACAAATAATGGAGCTGGTCTGTCAGTGATTCTCTCTCCTCCCTGTGACACAGCTAGAGAGTCACAACATGCTGTGTTTTAGAGAGGGTCAATCGATCTGCTGCAACCACAGCATCCTTTTGCAGAAGATCTATCCAGATTCACATAAGGTATATTCCTGGGCAGGCAAAAAATGTGAACTGAGAAACTGTCCTTTGTCCAAGATCACCCCTGGCAGTGTCCAAGGCCAGGTTGGATGGGGCTCTGAGCAACCTGGTCAAGTGGAAGGTGGCCCGGCCCGTGGCAGGGGAGTTGGAACGAGGTGATCTTTGGGTCCCTTCCAACTCAAAGCATTCTATGATTATGTGATCTACTGGGCATCTGAACCCTGGGACATGCAGAAAGAAAGCTTTGATCACCGGCCCTTGATTGTGCAACTCGCAGCTCAGAAATGAAAGGTGTGTGAAGGTGGATGTGAAGATGGCCCAGGGCTGCCCCACTCTGTCTTTGCTCCTTTGTCTGTTGTGTACACAGACACTTCTCGACCATGATTTAGAGCAGCCTGGTTGTGGTTTCATCCAACTGTGTGGGTCAGAGCTCCAAAATAGGACCCTGTGATCAAAATGTCCGGAAACATGAGGTCATGACATCAAAAGGCCAGTTCCGTAGTGAAGGTATGGCTTTCAGGTGCCGCTGCCTTCAAAGGTCAGCACTAAAACAAAGGAGAAATCTATATTTGGGAACATTCATGCAAAGCACTACTGTTTGCTGTTTGCCAGAGGCACCAAGGCAATTAGAGATTACAAAAAAAACCAACAAAAAACCCCCCAAACAAACGAAAAACCCTCAATCCAACCTAACAAACAAAACCAACCAAACAAAACCCAAAACAACAACAACAACAACAATAAAAAAAAAAGGAAAAAAAAAATTTCCAGCTCATGGAAGTAAGAAACAGAGGTTAGTTACATAATTAAACTAGGAATGTCATTACTGAGCTCTGCAATAACCTGCACAGAGCTGCATGGACCTACAGTGGTAGTGAATGGCCAACTTTCCCGGGAAAGTTTTTTGTTATCCTTGTATTGCTTGGTTTTTTTACACCACATCTGTGCTTGCTTCGTCATTCTGCCATCTGCTGTAACAAAATACAGACAAAGCATTTCAGAGAACAACCTCTCCACACTTTAAAATGCTCCAAGCCAGAGAACAGCCTTTTATTTCTCACAAGCTGTAGTGCTTATCATCCTATCCTCCTCCTCCTCCTCTTCCTCCTCCCCCTGCCCCACATGCATGATGAATTACACACGCTTACCAAGCGTGGAGAACACAGAATCCCATTGATTTTGCCACAATGTTTCTATTAAAGGCAATGAATGTTTCTGCGCTTTTGCTTCGCTGAAAGGTCAGAAATAGCAGGTCATTATCATCAAATTTTTAATTTTGAAACTCCCAATCAGGCTCGTTTCCTGTTTGGTATTGTCTGCAGATACACAATGTACAGCAGAGAGAAGGACTCGGGTTGCTAAAGGATGGAAATAACAGAGTATGAGGAGAGTGGTTTTGAGCACACACTCTGTAAAGTCCAGTCAAAGTTTCTTCCTGGTGCAGCCGCACAAATCTCTTGGTAGCAGTAAACTTGCTGCACAGACTTCATTCCTGAACACATGTTCAAAGGTGATAAAATAAATGCAGATGGTTTCCCAAAACCTCGGTGGAGCATTTTTTGCTGTTACTAAATGGACTGTAAAAAAACTAGGGGGAAAAAAAACCAGAGAAAATACAGTTTGACAGAGACAGGCAATTTCAGAATAGCATTTGGTCATCTGGGAGAAAATCTAAATAAAATGTGTGTTTATAAGATCCATTGGCAAAACAATATTGACAGAGCATCTGAGTTGCCTATTGGAAGTGATTTTTAGAATGGTTAAATTAAACAAGCGTTGCGAGCTGAATATTTTGCTTATTTACTTAACACATCCAAACAAATAGTTGGATAGGAATTTTGAATTCATTGTGCCACGACCAAAGTTGACAATAAAACCATCCCCAGCTACAGTGAAAGCAGAATTAGACCTTAACAAATTTATTACAGGCTTTGTTTACAAACTTGTTACAAAATTATACAGCATCTTATGCGTACACAGGATTTACAGGAACGCGTTACTGATGTGTGTGATTGCTCCACTCTCTGGTCAAGATCTGCAGGTTTTTCTTCACCTGAGGCCTGATCCAGCTTCCACTGGAGAAGGTGAGATTTTTTGTTTTTCCATGGACTTTAGTGGAAGCTGGATCAGATCCAGAGGGTAACACTTCCGTTCATTGTTTTCCTGGGGTGGGAAAGAGGCAGCTGACCTAAAAGCCTTACACACCACGCTTCTTTCTCATTTCATGTGTTTCAGATGACAGGAGTATTTACTCCGAGACATTTTTTGCTGGCTGCTTGTGTTAGAGTTAAGAGTCAAAGATCAGTTCCTCTTACTGGATCTACAGTGGAAAACGACAATTGGTTTTCTTTGAGCCTTTAAAGAACGAACCTCCCTTGATTTTCACTGAGAAGAAACTAAGGTATTAGGATCAACTCTGATGTTGTTTACATTGCTATAAAGCTACATTTTCTCCACTGTCTTCAAGAGAATTTCTCTGGATTTACAGTGATGTAAATAAAAGTGGCATCCTCACTGCAGGAACAAGGTAGTTTGTGATTAATAGGATTTAACCAAACTAAGTTAGTCTTCTTATCTCCTCATATGGATATAGACCTGTCTGGCATGGTGAAACAAGATTTCTAAACTTAATGATCCATGACAATATCAGCTCTCAATTACTCCCAGCATCTGCAAATGATCTTTATTTGGGAATTCAGGGTGCAAAATTAGGCTTTTAACTTGCAAAAAAAATCCAGTGGGGCAAGACTCTGAAAAATATGCTTTTACCCCCAAGCTAAAAAATTTTAGTTGAAATTTAAGCTTTCCTAATAGTAAAACTAGCAAAATCTCTGTGGGGGATTTTTTTTTTTTATAATGTTTGCCAGGGAATGAGAAAACTGGAAATATTCTAGTCAGATCTATCAGATACTGAGTTCCTTGTTATATTACATCCTCTCATTTTAACGATTGCCTTGGTATGGAACCTCTGAAGTTCTTATTGCTTGAAGCAAAGTAAGGATTTAGTACTGCAAGGTGATGATATTTCCTGGGAGGTAAATACCCCGGCCTCATGCTGAGAATTGAGATGGTTCTCAGAAACCTTGCTTATGGCCTCCCCTGCAGAAACACCACCTACACGCTCCAGCCTGGCTTCCAGAGACACAACTATTCCAGTGCTTGGCCTCATGGGCAGCCCTTCTGGTTCTCCAGTGGTTTTATGGTGTGCAACGCTCTCTGTAAGGGATTAGGGGAGACCACACAATTTGCTGCCTGTCACGACCTGCTGCAGGTTTGAAGTTGGTTTTCCAGGAGTGAAAGCTGCACGAACAAAAGAATCCTGAAACCTCGGGTTTGAGTGCTCTGATCTCATTTTCACTTGTGATGCTGAACACGCAGTGAGAGCCAGAGTGGAAAACCTTCAGACACTACAGCTGTAAAGCTGTTTGAGTGGCTGGTGTTTTCCAGCCCTGCCTGGGTGTTGGATCTATCCAGACACAGATAACATGCAGTCCAATCTTAATTCTGTTGATAGCCATGGACTCTACTTTATTTTATGGGAGTGGGATCCCATCCAGGGCATTACACAGCTAGTGTGTAATAGACCTTCTCTTCAAGTAGTGTCATTATTCCTGTCCCCAGTGGAGCTACATGACAATCCAAAGAAGAGTTTGAGGTATATATTTGCAAGTACATTTGTCTGTCCTAAGCAACAAATCTGTTTAATTGAGGAACTTCATTATTACTACAGACTCTGTGGATTTTAGTCACCATCCATTTCAAGTTCCTGTGAAAGGTACCAGGTTTCTCCAGCAGTTCTAAACATTTTTCACCCTGTGAAAAATGAAGAATGGATTGTTGAGAAGAATGGCTTTGTATGGGTGTGTGGCTTTGATATCCATGCCAGGATATCGTATCTTTCTTTTCTACAATTTCCAAGCCAAGGGTTCTTTTCAGGTCGAGACACCACCAGCTTTGTTTCCAATTTGAAAACTCTGACAGAGAGAAACGATCCAGCAATGCAAGCAGAAGATAATGATTCATGTGAGGAGAAGGAGGCTGATCACAATAAACCATCTTTCATGTATTATATTAATGATCCGTTTAGATTGGTCCTTGGCTTCAGTAAGTTTCAGCTACAAATATTTTATATTTTTTCATATTTTTTCAATGATGCACTGGCAGCATTAGAAACAGTTGCAAAACAAATGTGCTTCAGAAACATAAACGGAAGTTGCTGGATTATTAGCAGCCATCCTGAAATGCTAACAGAGGAAAAATGGTAATTTCACTGGCAAAACTGGCATAATACACAGAAACTTTATTTTAGGGCTACCTGATGTCTGTAAATTTGACATCATCTGCAGGCTACAGCACGTACTTTGGTCCATGTTTGTTTTGGCGGTGAGGAGTCAACATTGCATCCAATTAAAAGTGAATGTATAGAGCAGGGAATATAAATATGTACACAACTCTTGGCATTGATCTGATTTTTAACAAGTTTACTAAATGACAGTCACTGGTTTGACAATACTGAATGAAAAATACTGATTTTACACAGATTTTACAGGAAGGTTACGGTATGCTGCCGACAAGCAGTGTCACAAACATAGTCTAAAAAAAACCTGGAGCTGCCCACAGCAGAGGCACACACCCTTTGCTCTTGTTTATTGAGAGAGAAAGCTTATATACTGTAGATTTGCTGAAGTTTAATAAATAAGGTCAACTTATAATATATATAAAACAATATAAACATTTATATGCTACATGCATATCATATAATTTAAAGTAATAATTTATATAGCAAAGAGATGCAGATTTATGTTCTTCCTATTTTCCTCGACAACGCGCACACGCAGGAGGTGTCTATCCTTATCCATCTCCAGCCTACCAGTTTGTTGTTTTCTGAAGTCAGTGCTCTAACATAAGTTTGGGATGTCTTGCATTGGGAATTCCAGTGCTTGTCATCGATGCCCCGGCAGCCGTTTTTCACGGGCTTGGCTTCTTTACACCTCGTCTCATAAAAGTATTGCTTAACTGGAGAGTTGCCCGTTTTAATTTCTCCCAGAACAGTTACCTGGTGCCCTCTGATGTCGATGGCAGAGGATTTGTCCGTGACCCACAAACTTTCACTGTCACAAACGGAATATTCCCCTCGGTGGCCCTTGTGCTCCGCGTACCTCTTCCGCCGGGAGGTTCTGTTCACCACGGAATTCCCAACATAATCCTCCATGAGGTACAGCGGCGGCGGCTCCAGCGGCGTGTTGTCACTCAGGAGGACTCGGGGAGAGTTGTAGCGTCTCTGCTGCCTCAAGAGATCTGTATCCACTGAGATAACTGGCTGGAAGTCTGATTTCACATTTTCCTCTCCGTCCATGTCTTGCTGAGCGTCTGCTTTCTGCACCGTGTTTTGATAGTTTTCCTTAATATCTACCATCTGCTTGGAAAGCTTGTTTTTTAAAATGTCTGCTTGGATAAGTTTGATGATAAGGGAATTTATCGAATCTTCTGGCAAACTCCTTTGATCCATGTTGGTAGACTGGACGCCACGAAGATAAGCGAGAAATATCACATAAAACAAGATGGACATCACCTTGTTCACCTGTAAGATCTGCAAAGAAACAGAAAGTCAACATAAAAACAATTAAAGGGGGAAGTTTTTCAGAGGCTGCAAACATGAAAATTGGGAATTTTTATTATAACATCTGCACTTTATAGATGCAGATATATATAGATACAGAAACACAGGCTATGTGTTTCTTTGAAGATATTTGTTACACTTTATAAAGAGTGCAACTCATTTCTGAGGGTTTTTTTTTCATTCTCTTTCTCTCTATGGTGCTATAAGGGAAAATACTCTTGAAGGAAAATCGTGCAGACAAGTAGCAAAATGGAGTTTTTAGTATTTTAAACTTCAGAAAATACTAGCTAGGCCCCTGTAGTAAAAGTAGGGAATTCAGATGGATCCACAGATCTTTTGGTAGTGATTTTTTGCAGAGTTGGAACCTCTTGTTTTATTTTGTTCCATTTGGGTTTTTTTGTTAAATGAAGTTGCTTCATTACATTTATATAAAATGGAACAAAACTGACAGTAATTAGAAATATTCAAGAGCAGGTGGAGGACACCCCTCTCCCCACCCCCCTCAAAAAAGAAGAATTTAGTTCAAAGGTTGAAGATTTTGAAAACTGTGCATAAAAACGTGTTACTTCTTTGCCATCCACTGCTATATGTAGATTCCTGTGGGTGTCCTTTCAATTATAGCTTCAGACCATATTCTAGAGGCTCCCTTGTAATTTCTTTTTAAGCCTTTGTGGGTTTTTCTTGTGTAGTTGAGAACCATGCGCATCCATCTAAGGAGGTGTTTTTATTTCCTGTGGACACCTGTATATTTTGTATTAGCACCCATACTTAAAGGAAATCAATTTTCAATGTAAAAATACTGATGGAAGCAAACCATTCACTTCAGAGCACACCTCCTTTATGAACTTGTTGCATAAGTAGTGGATTGAAGAATGAAACATCAAACTGAGAGCACCTTCATCCCATGTAATAAACTCTGGCTGTAGCACTGATTCAAGTGACTCAGAACAGTCTTGAATATGATTCTCCTGCACAGCAAACACATCCACCACACGTCTGATACCTCCAACACTCTGGGATGAGGGCACAGAGTCACAGACCGTGGAACAGATGGAGCTGAAAGGATCCTCAGGACATCATCTAGACCAATCCCACTGCTCAGAGTAGCATCAGCCAGGGCAGCTTGCACAGAGCTGTGCCTAGTCAGGTTTGGAATATCTCCATGGATAGAGACTCCACAAGCCCTCTAGGCAACCTGTTCCAGTGTTTGACCACCCTTGCACTTAAAAAAAAAAATTGTCATGTTTCAGTAATATTTCCTATATCTCATTTGTTCTCATTGCCTATTGTCCTTTCATGGGACACCTCTAAGAAGAGTTTTGCCCCATCTTTTTTACTGCCTCCCATCAGATATTTCTGCACTTCAGTAAGATCCCCCTGAGCCTTCTCTTCTCCAGCATGAACAGCCCCAGGTCTCTCAACCTCTCCTCATATGACAGTTGCCCTAATCATTTGCATGGACTAGCTCCTGTATATCCAGGTCTCTCCTGTACATCCATGTCTCTCTTGTACTGGTTGGCCAGAACTGGACACAGCACTGCAGATGTGGCCTCCCCAGTGCTGAGTTGAGGGGAAAGATCCCCTCCCTTGACCTGTTGGCAACACTCTGAGTACTCTGTTTTTTTCACAAGAGAAACTGTGGAAATATCAGACATCTTGAACAGAAAATTTTCCCCTTTAAAAAAAAAAAAATCATAATTTTCTGTTTAAAAGAGTGAACCATTTTCTGTATAAAAAGGCAAAGAAAAAAAAGATGAAAAAAATTTTACTGCACAACCCTCTATCCACAATAAGTAAAATTCCTTTTTGCAAGATTGAGTCCCCACTTCATAGTTTGGAACTGCAGCAAAATCAGAGCTACCCTCTGTGGATGTGTGAGCTGCCCTTTTATGGACAAGAAATGTGTTTTCTCCATTCTCAGTTTGTCACAGTATGAGTTCACCTAAATCTAGACTGTTGCTTGCAGCAATGTTTTGCTTTGGGGGGAAAAAAATCTAAGATGTTCAGTTACCATACAATTACTGTCACACCTAAATAAATACTAACTTAATGTAGATGGATCTCAGAGCCCAGACTGTACTGTATGAAAAATTGCAGAGCAATTTAGTCTTCTCTCAGAAAATTATTTGCTTTTAAAAACAGTAAAAATATTATTAAACAGATGTCATTCAGCAGATTTCTTGCAGCACTCAGGAGAGCAAACCCACATGCAGCATGACACACAAATCTATAGGATGGTGAGCAAAGCTCTGACAACGCTCTGCTCAAAGGCTGAAAGCATTATTCATGCCAACATGCAGCTGCATGCAATCACTGCTCTGCTTAGTCTCAAAACTAAGTGGCACTAGCAAAATACACAAGTTGGAGCAGGTGATGAGGTGGGAAAAGTAAGACTGGAGTTCCTGCAGACTCTCTTTAATGTCATTCTGCACACAAAAAAGAAGGGCTGGGGACCTCGGAGCTGGAACAGTTCAAATAAGCTATTTTTCTTGTCCATGGAGGAACTCCATTAATGGGAAAAATGCCTAAAAGTATTTTGCTGAACTTCATGTGATATGTCTTGTGGATTTGGTGGGAAAGATGTTAACCTACTCTGAAGTTTGATGTGTAGTTTGATTTACAGTTGGCAGATTATTTGCTGCAAAAGTAAAAATATGCCAGAACAAACCTTTATCCTTTTTCTGGGTGCAAAATTTTGACAGGAGACACAAACGTTTGGTAAAATTACAATTTTCAGGGAGTTCTTCTGAGACAATTCACCAGGAAGGTTCATCCGTGGTGTTCAGAAATTCCAGGACTAGAAACAGTCAGTCTGTCCATAAAGTCCAGCACCTCAGAATATAAGACACTGTTTTAGGTGGGAGAAATGGACATTACTGGGAAACCACAGCTGTTTTATGGCCTTGGTTCTAATATGGTCATAAGACACCTTAAAAGTATATAGGTTTGTAGGTCTGGGGAGAATTGCTTTTGATAAATGGCCCTTTGCCCAAAATGGAACATTGTGCCTGTCTGAACTGAAGATAATTTGAAATTATTTTTTTGGCATATGTGTTGTTAAATCCATAAAAAGCAGAGGAAAATGTAAAACTTCAAAATGTTTATGTTTTCATATTTTCAAAGCAAATCATTCTGATGTTTCTGAACATGCTTCAGATGTTACACAATGGAATTCACAAAGCAGAGCAAGTGCTTACTCAGAGTAGCCCAGTGAGTAAGTTATCTGTGGAGGAGACTTGGATTAAAGGTAAGATTTCAACACAGGTATCCTGTCTAAGAGAAGACTGACTTAACTTCCAGGCTCCTGGGGCGTGGGTTCATATGGATCTCAGGAAAAGTTCTTTCTTTGGCCTTTTGAAGAATGGTATAAAAATCTCCCAAGTATTTAGCCCTTCACATGACTTCTTCTGTTCTTTCGTTAATTTTTGCTTAAATTCAAATGATTCATTTCAGGTAGAAAGACAGATTTTGTTCAAGCCAAAGTTTTCTTAGTCAGCTGATATCAGTGAGATATTTTCGTTGTTCTACAAGGTTCTTCTTGAGATTTTCCACATGTAAATTCCTAACAAAAGTTCATTTTGGCTGTCCATGTGGACTGTTGGTATTCAAGTAAATGTGCTGAATGGCCCTAGAAATGGACAGAATACTTATTTACACTCCTACAGGTAGTACAGATTAGATTACATTTAGGATCTGAGTTTGTGTCCCAAAGCCATTTTACTGGGAAGTCATTCCCACTTGTCCTGTCGCTAAAATTCCTGATGAAGAGCCCCTCTCTGGCTTCCTTGTAGGTCCCTTCAGACACAGGAAGGCTGCTATGAGGTCTCCATGCACCAATCTTCTCTTCTCCATGCTGAACAGCTCCAATATTCCGGAAAACTGTTTTTCCTGAGCTGCTGAGAAGAGTTCTGCTGTCGTACTCTGCTATTCTTTGTGCCCTTCAAGATGTTGGGTCACACCTTTGATGCTTTGAGCTCTGGCTAGAAGTAATTAAAAAGAGGCTGAGGAGCATATGGCTCTCATATCAGCCCTTGAGTGTGCTTGGAAATCACTCTGCTACGTGCAGTTTGGAAAAGCACTGGACATCAAGGTAGGAGGATTCTTAGAGTTTGTCCCTTTGCAGAGCTCTTCTTTCAGAAATACACTGGCTTTCAAAAGTGATTACAGACTTGGCAACAGAAACAAAGAAGATCCTGAAGGGAACAAGGACTATAACTAAGTGACATTAAGCATCATGAATGGTCCAAAGGATTTGTGGGAGAATATATCACAGTATGGCTGGAAAACCAGTATATCCTATTAGCAGTAGACTGCTAATTTGCACTAAGCAAGTTTGACTCAAACATTGCTGACATTGTGGCACAGCAGGTAAAAGCAAACAGCACAGAAAAGGAAAGCTCATGCATTGCAAAGCTGCTTGATCTTCTAGCTGTGGCTTAGTTTTACTTTATTTTAATGGTTTATATTCCTGCCTATCACTACAGTGTCAGTGGGGTACTAATATTGTCTGGTGGTCCAAGGAAGGTCTAAATTTAGGAGAAGTAAATAAGGTTACCTCTTCCCTCCATCAATAAATTAAATCCTCAATAACCTCTGGCAAATCACTTTCTGCTCTTTTCAGACTCGACACTTTATGTAGTAGAGGAAAGCTTGGCTTCATTTTGAAAAAAATAAATGGATTACTTTATTTTGATCAGCCTCTGAACAGTCTACACAGCTGAGGAGCAAAGCATCATCTAAAATATTCTGTGAAAAGAATGAAATCCTAGTACTGTGAAAATTCCCTAAGTATTTACTTGTAAGTCATTGCTAAGAGGAACTGGAATAGAAGGAAAAGTAACTGGTGAATTTTACATTCAGCATTGGAATCACAGAATCACAGAATCACAGCATATGCTGAGTTGGAAGGGACCCACAAGAATCATTGAGTCCAACTCAACCCTGCACAGGACCATCCCCAGGAGTCAGAC